AATATTAAATATATTTTATATATTTTTAAAAAATTAAAAAATTAACAGTTACATGTCAACATCTAACAACCTAAACCTACTTATTACTTTATCTCTAGTGGACCACGTCAGTCTTCGTCCATATCACATGGCCAAACTAGCTTCGATTTTGACACTTCTTAAGGATTATTACATCATTTATTTCAAAAACCACCTAAATTTGTCATCCATCCATCCGTCATCATTATTTGATCTCATCGTACATACATCTGACCCACATCATTACCTTCTTCACTTCGTGCGGTATCAGAAATGTTCACTATCAAATAAAATATTCGTTTTCTATCAAGAAGTGAAATGAGAGAATTTCTTGATTTTTCTGTAATCTCTATTAATTTTTTTTTTCTAACAAGGGCAAGGTTAATTAGAGACGAACCAGCATCCGAGAGGCTGTTTCCTGTAATCTCTATTATGAATTAACAAAAACAAGTGAAATGAGAGAAAAAGTTCTATCAAGAAGAAAGGAGCATTCCGTTCATTCATTTTAAAAACTGAATCCCTTTCTTACACAAAGCATACTTCAGTTAAATTCCATATATAGAAAAGCAGAGATGCTGACAGCAGATATGGATATATATTATACCTATTACTACATAACACATATATGTAAATATGTAAACAGAACAGAACAACCAAGTTACCATGGCTGTAACAAACCCCAGCTAAGTAAAGCAACAAGGGGTAAACCATGGTCGCTTTATTCTAAAACTCAAATAACACTACTAGACAGATTCTAATTATTTTCTCACAAGGAGAAATGTAAAAAGTCATAGAAGTCATCTCTGCTTCAGAAGGGGTCATCCCTCATTTGCAGTTGCAGGGGTCGCAGGTGCAATTGGCTCCGCACTTGCATCCATTCTCAGCTCCAAATCCCATCTCAGATCCCTCCAAGTTCCTGTATGTTTCAAACAAAACAAAGTAAGAAACTAAAAACATAAATTTAGTATATCAGATCTAACTATATATATAATTGGATACATACACTTTGCCGGTGCTGGCGACGCCCAGAACGAGAGTCTCCCTGGTGGTGTTCTCAGCCACGTCCGGAAACATCTTACATCTACAAGATCAACGATAATTAAAGAAAATTAAGCTCATAGAAAAAGCAGAAAATGAAATACCAAATTCAAGATTTCCTCTTCGCTGTATTAAAAAGTAAAAAAAAGAAAGAAACAGAAGAATCAAGCCATGATCTACCAAATTAAACAATTATCGGAAGTCAATTTAAAAAGTTCAAACTAACAGAATAGAAGACGGATCTGAAAATTAGCTTAAGACGAAGGATAATCATCGTTGTTAGATCTTTCGTTTACAGCGATCTGATTACGGAGAAAACCGCGACGGAAGAACTTACCCGCCGCAACCGGAACCGCACTTGCATCCGGAGCCACAGCCACAGTTTCCTCCGCAGCAGGACGACATTTTCAGTGGATGACGAAGAAGAATCAGAGAGCACCGGCCGCAAAAAAATATCTAAATGGACGGACGGTAAAGCACTAAAGCTACAACAGACTTGAACGAGTTTCAAGGCAGGGATGGGCACTTGAATTTATAGCGGGCTCGGTGGAGAGGAAGGATCAAATCCACCGTCCACGTGTCTAGAACTGACGTACATCTTCTCAAGGGGGGAGTAGACTGGTGTGTTGTCGAGTGTACCTTCTCCTGAATATTATCGGTCGTTGGATCTTAGACGGTGTATATGGATAGATGAATCAAGGGTCATGATTCATGATGATCACTAAGGGAGGTTCTACTTAAACATAACAAATAATATTCTTTTTTTGGATGAATATCTTCTTGGTCACAATAAAGAATTGAATCACCAATCCACCATGATTTAAAAAATGCATTAGATAGCTCCATTATTAAGTTTTGTACGTGCCCATCATTTATATTCGACCAGGTGTTAACACTTTCCCAAAAAAAAAAATTACACTATAAAATATTAATTATTGAATCAATATTTTATTTTATGTTTTTAAAGTATACATTAAAAAATATTATTATATTTTTTTATAATTAATTTATATTAAAAAATGCATTAGATAGCTCCATTATTAAGT